CGGCACGAACCAAAAAACCAATATGGCGTCCCAGAAGCATCTTTCGCGGCAACATTTAGAGTCACGTTATCAGTTTCCGCGGGAAAAAAAACCGCTAGTGTTACCAGATAATTTACTGAAGAATTAACCGGAATATTTGTCAGCTTCTAGTTGTTTTACAATAAGCCTTAAATAAAATGTATTATAGTTTGTATTGTGTTATTAAATCTCGATCTACGTCGTTAACCAATACAACTGTACCCAAGATCATACGTCAATTTCTATAGATAAGCGCATTGCAATTCCTGTTTTATGCACTGAATTTGTGTAGCAAACGCTGCACACTACACAATATGCATTAATCACCATTTTCTGTGTTTTGTGTTATTATTTCAATTGAAAAACACCGGATGTAAAAACAGCGACATTTAGGTGCGGGAGAGGCATCTCGTTTAAAGTTCATAATACATTTTTATAATACTTGACGGACGCAAACGCCTTTTCTTGCTTTCCCAACCCGTGTGCTCAGCAACATGAAAGCAAGCCAGTATTGCCTATTTAGTACACCAATAACTTTAATGCATTAAAGGAAATTATGATTTCCGAAAAATTATAAAACAAATAACTGACCGATGTCGCACACCGCCGAGTGGGACCCGACGAAATGTTTCAATCCGCGATCAATGCAGTACAAATTCGCCGTGTTCAATGACAAGAAAGTGAAAATGTTTTATTATACTTAAAAATCATCGAATTTGGGGATCTTTATTTGACTGACAAGAAAGCAAAATATTTTCTTCCAAATAACATTCTGAAAGTTCCGCTTTCACTTTCTCTCGGGATTTTGAATGTGACTTTTTACCTAAATGGCTGCCGGGAACAGGGAATGTCAGGCAATGTCATGACCTTGACTCAGGTTACAACCCCAAAATTGACCTTGCGGGTGCGGGTCACGACTTTGACCTTGAGATTTATTCGTGATATCTGGGTTGTTCATGAAGTTTTGGGACTTTTTCGATCCCAAGGTCAAGGGTCAGGTCAAAGGTCAAGGCCCCATTCGAAAGGTCAATGAGTTGCCTATCCATGGTCATGACCTTTGATTTGCCGCGCAGACCAGGGGCCCCACCATGTGCCCGGGAGCATCGAACTCAGTAGATATTTTGGTGACCTTGACCCTTTCTGATGACCTTGACCTACCGGGGTCATGTGGACCAAGATGACATTTTGGAAGGTCAAGGTCCAGTGGTCCTGACTTTATTAGATGGGCCCCTAGGGTTCAAAAACCAAAATACTTCCGGGGCCCCTAGCGGGTCAAGGTCACGACTTTTGGTTGGCGATTTTAAAAAATGAAGAACAAATGTTGGGTCAGTCTATCGGGTCACCAAACCCCGGGGCGATCGGATGACATTTTTGGGGCAAATTTCCCTAGAAAGTGAAATAGCCGAGCATTACAGCGGTGTGGCCTAAGGGCAGATAACTCGCCCATCCCAAATCGGATCCGACGACCTTGAGGTCGTGGCTATTTAAACTAAATTGACCCCTGGGAGTCTCGTGGTGACCTTGGTTTGACAATCAGAGGTCAAGGTTCGAACTGCTATATATGACGTTTCGATAACGTTATGACAATGTTGTGACAACGTTTTAACAACGTTGTGACAACAACCTGTATATGAAGTTTTGATAACGTTGTGACAACGTTGTGACAACAACCTGTATATGACGTTTTGATAACGTTTTGAAGACGTTGTGACAACGTTGTGACCACGTTGTAACAACGCCGTGACAACAACCTGTATATGACGTTTTGATAACGTTGTGACAACGTTGTGACAACAACCTGTATATGACGTTTTGATAACGTTTTAAAGACGTTGTGACAACGTTGTGACCACGTTGTAACAACGCCGTGACAACAACCTGTATATGACGTTTTGATAACGTTGTGGCAACGTTGTGGCAACAACCTGTATATGACGTTTTGATAACGTTTTGAAGACGTTGTGACAACGTTGTGACCACGTTGTAACAAAGCCGTGACAACAACCTGTATATGACGTTTTGATAACGTTGTGACAACAACCTGTATATGACGTTTGAATAACGTTTTGATGACGTTGTGACAACGTTGTGACAACAACCTGTATATGACGTTTTGATAACGTTTTGAAGACGTTGTTACAACGTTGTGAACAACGTTGTAACAACGCCGTGACGACAACCTGTATATGACGTTTTGATAACGTTGTGACAACGTTGTGACAACAACCTGTATATGACGTTAGAATAACGTCTTGATGACGTTGTGACAATGTTGTGACAACGTTGTGACAACAACCTGTATATGACGTTTTGATAACGTTTTGATGACGTTGTGACAACGTTGTGTCAACAACCTGTATATGACGTAAATACAACGTCGAATATTGGTCGAAAACACGTTGTACAACGTCACGACCAATATTGACGTTGTCACAATGTTGTAACAACGTTGCGTGCCCGCTGGGTTATTTGAAAACACACAAGCAAAATTTTGTTTGTTGATTTCAAATGTACAAGCAAAACTAGGATTCTGAAGAAATTCAAGTTCCAATTTTTTCTTTAATGAAAATACTTTTATTATCTTTGGATTACATGTACAAGCTATGTTATACATTGGAGTGTACACATATTCCTTACAATTTCATTAAAAAGCTAATGGCTAATAAAACACAAGAATAAACATCCAAAACTGTCCTCAACACTAGAGCTGGGCGATATCCCTGAAAACATTGCGATATCACTATATTGCGATATTTTATGAAATGTCAATACTTTCAGTTTATCATTTTTTTTTTAAATGTAAATAAACATGCATAAAATATTGGAAATACCCCTGGAGTACTCACTAGACACTTTCTAGTCATTATTATTATTTCTAGTCAATATTATTTTTAGCATACAGTACTGAATTTACAAACAAAATTTACAAACTTGAAAAAGTTTTTGTTTATTACAGTTTTAATTTTCATAATATTAATTATAATATTTTATTTAAATTAAATTTTTTTACATATGACGGAGGCACAAAAAACATAAAAACAAAGTTTGTTTTCTTTCGACCGTGCATATTTATTTTTAGGCAGTGGCTACCCTTGAAAACTCGTGTTTTCTCACTCAAGCGTATACCTTCTTGAAGATGCATTATATTATACAAGGATAGTAAATTAAACTATAAAACATAAGTGCTATGTCAAAAATTGTCCATTGATTTAGTCAAATAGCGATTTTTCGAATCACGTCCGACGCTGAATGATAATCTGTCTACCGGAACTCTCAAAATATATAGTTGGCAATGTTGGCATTATTTATATTTCTGCTTTCTTAAAATCTATTTCAATCTGAAAATCAGTGATTCCTTTGGAAAATCAAAGTATCGGTATAAACAATGTGTGAAGATGTATAAAAATTGAACAGAAACAGGGATAATGCTAACGGGTGGAAAAGTGAGCGAGAAGTCACGTGACGTAAACAAAGCTCCTTATCGGCATAAATTTGCAAACTTCGTGGAATGAATACTCAGGAGTTTATAACAGTATTTATTCATCATTAAACAATAAAATATCGTAAATAACCTCCTAAGGAAAACATTTTTTCAATATTTATGTTAAATATCATCCAGAAAAATAAAACGGTATGTGTTTTTGTACTATTAAAACTGTTTGTGTCGTGTGAAAGCCATTCACCAATAACATATATTTTTGAACGATGGAATATAACGACAATAATGAAAGGACAGATGGTCGAACACTATAAAAGGTCAATTGTGATATGTGTATTGTTTTCATTGAATAATCATGTTATTCAGTAACAATAAGCGAAAAAATGTTACACACATTTTTTTTCGTGTGACATATATTTTGTTACACGCAGTCTACAAAATCAACATGCATTTTGCGTGTTTGCGTCCGTCAAATTCGATCCCTGATCAGTGTAAGACTTCATTAAAAACACTTAATATTTTAAAAGCAATGATTAAGTTTACCCCTTCATTGTACACAAGGACATGTACTTTGCCATCCTTATTTTATCTTCTTCACATTTGTTTATTTTAACCCCTCTAAGCATCAATGTCTACATTTTGATCTCAAATTTACGCCTCCAATAATCACTTAGCTGGAAGTAAATTGATTTTGTCTTCTACTGTTATCAATAAAAATTGCAGACAGAAAATTATTAAACATGATAACAAGCATCATTAAATATTTTGAATATTTGTTAATAATGGCTTAATATATAGAATGGGTTCAAATTTGTGTGATTCATAGATTGGTAGAAAAATGATAAATAGGCAAAGATAAATTGAAATCATGGTAGGCTTTTTTAAATTTTAATGAATTATGATATCAAGAAATTATAAATCATATTGAAATGAAGCTCCTCACAATTATTATCTTCGTGGAATTCAGTTAGGAATTATAAAGAACAATATCTGTTCAATTTGAGAAGAACTAATTTGGAACCAGGAGCAATAATAGATTGATGGTACGCAGTTAAAGCTATGTTGCATGTACACATTGGTGATTGGTGTTTTATATAAGGACACATATGACATACATACAGCCTTTTTGTTCTACATTATTAAAAAATAGGTTTTATTATCTTACTAAGACACGTAATGTACGTATTATTAAAAAGGTACTGACAATGCCTAAAGCTCTAAAAGTAAATTTACTAGTTAAATCCTTGACTTATTTATAGACCAAGATTGTTCAGTGCCATACTGCATATCCATAATGGTAGAAATGAAATGAAATGGGGTTTAACTGTTCTACTTTGATGGTCAAACAAAAGGTGTAAATTAACTGAGATGGATTTGCTCATTTCGGTTATCAGAATTTATTACCTTCAAAGATTTATGTAAAATTACTAATATGTAGGCATTTTGAGAGACTGAATCTGACTTTGAATTTACTCATAGATCTGTAGGTCGATCAGATTCAAAAGCATTTCAAAATAATGAATCCTTTTACTATATATTTCAGAGTAGCAAGTTGGTTGAAGTAACATCCAATATTTGGGGAACTAAATTCCAGCTGATAGGTGTGGCATCGTATTTACCAGAGTTTCTGGGTAATGTTGTGTATAAAACTAGCTTATTACATCTACAACCTAGACAAATGACTATAACATTAACAGAAGTTGGGGGAAGTTCTCAAGCATTATCTCGTGATTCTAACTTTACCCCAGCTGGAGCACCAGAAGATGATGAGGATTCTTGTAAGTCTATACAATTTGATTTAGTCTCTATATAGTTTGATTTGAACATAGGTTTGATATATGTAGAATTTAATTTGAACATCTAGGTTAGATAGACGCATGTATTCAACTAAATGAGAGCACATTCAATTTCCATTTGAATGATCTGAGTGCACAGTTATGGCACAATTTTGTATGGTAATTTCCACTTGGGAAGGGTGATGTTAGCATTTTCAAAGTGACATAGTTTCAAGTGTATCAATAGATCAGAATTGCTCCTGAAGTACCCTGTCCAATGATTTTTTGCTAGCAAAGTTATGACCATTGACTTTTAAATCATTTTATTTGTTGAATCATAGAATTAGTTACTTGTTACTTATATTTATCTTATTTTCCTAGCAACATTTAGTGATACAAATGATTGTGATCTATTCCCTGATATTCTCAAGGATAAAAATGGCTTTGAGACTGAAGTGCCAATGGCTAATCAAATTTGTGTTGATGTTCAACAAGTTGTAGAGACAGGCAATCACATGGAAAATTATACTAATGGTGTAAAAAGTGTTGCAAACTATGAGAATTATAATGCTGGTATCTTGCCAAAACTAACACATACAGGTAGTATTAGGTCAAAGCCCTTGTCCCCTGTTTTAAATAGTTTTAGTAAACTATCAACATCTCCTGTTAAAACAGACTCTAATCAAGATGGCATCCATCCTCCCAACTATGACAATCAGGGTGCTCGTCCTAAACTTATCAGTGGCATGCAAACCTTGTTCAAATTTAATGGGCAGCTAGAAGAAGTTTTTGATAGTCCAAATGGGCTAAAAACTGATGCAAAACATTCACCCAAAGTTACAATGAGTGAGAACAATAGTCCAGTGACTTCGTCTGCTGGAGACAGTCCACGATGGGCTGATCCAGCCTCTACAGCCATAAAATATATGGATGAAGAATTGCCTGATAATTCTGAACTACCATTTGAGAATAATTTAGTGGGGGATTGTAGTCCTACAGCTCCTTGTCATCCAGACTTACATCGGAGACTTTATCTTGCTCAACAAAAATCTGTAGAACTAGAGGAATTAGAAGAACATGGTGTACACATGTTTGCACCGTCAGAAGATTTAGATAATAGTGCTTTGATTGATGATAGTGTTACAGATGTTATCTATGATAAAAGACCAATTATAAAAGGATCTATAGATCGCGGTATTAATACTGTGCATACTATTTTACAAAAAGATCACTTATTTTCTAACGGTAGTGACATCGAGATTTTACAAAGTGCTTCATTGCCAGCTTCACCTATACGTTGTTCAAAACTTGATTCACCCACAAGGAAATTACGAGAGGAAGTTTTAAAGGGTAAATGTAAACATCTAAGTCCCATGTTTAAAAGACGGTCTAAACATCAAGCTCATATAGACAGTTCAGAAGAAGATTTATTACTAACAATAGAGAAAATCAATGGTGGCACTAATTACAAGAATTTGGAAACCTTCCAAAAATCACAGCTCAAACAAAAGGTAATATTTTCATTTATTATACAAGCATAGCAAACATAGTGTAAAACATATGAAATCAGTTTGAAAACTATTGATTGATTCTACTCTTGGAATGTATATTATTGTTGTGTGCAAACAGTTTCTATTTATGGTAGTATAGCAGAATTGTATATTATCCTATTATTTCTGTTATTATTTTGTTAAATTTACAGACTAATAACTTTCAAAGTCCACTGAGCCAAATCCTGTGTATTTGCACTGAATATTCAATTTCATCAATTAATTCTTTAACAGATTTCTCATGCATGTTGTTTTAATTAGTAAAATATGTCAGACTCTTTTGATGTCTATTCAGATGATTGATTGATAGACTAAGTCACTTGAAATGTTTAAAGTATTTATATGGATTCCTTTCCTGGCATACTGTTTAAAAGCTGAAACATACAACTTTCCACAATGACATGTGAACCGTGCTGGCAAAATAAGTCACAATGAGGAAATTTTGAAAATTAAGTTATTGTTATCTTCACATTCTCCACCTCAATACCTTCAAAATGATGTATGGTTGGTTTGAATTGGGCAAAAATTGACTGAGCTATATCCCTTGAAGTTGCCCAAGTTAGAAAAGGAAATTTTAAGAAAATGCAAGTTAAAGATGTTGGTATGTTCCAAAACAAAATCACATAGCAACCACACCATTTATTTGTTATTTTGTCGTTTAATGGTGATAATATAATTTGAAACAATAATGATATCCAACTAGAACTGCGATGCAGTAATGACGGATCACAGGTTACACAGGTGCCAAGTTACCTTGAACTTATGTCACTTCCAATGCCATGTTACCCTTGAACTGATGTCACTTCCAATACCAAAGAAACTGTTAAACAGATTTCCACATAAGTATTGCACACCTGTTATAAAATGGATTCAGAATCGACCAAATCGAGCAATATTGATTACTAACTTACCACTAAGTTAGCTGATGAGACTTTCTAATGGGAAACTAAAATGCGAAACAAATCTTAAAAAGTGAGCCTGACGAAATTGCTGATTTCTCAGTAACAGAAGAAGTTAGAAGTGATTTTTTGATATCTATAGCATCATATTAAATCATTCTATATGTTGGATTAGAATTAAATGTCATAATTTTAAAGCAATATTGAAAAACACTCATTTGAAGAAGATATTTGTTTTGACGGCTAAAAATGCAGTTTTTGTCAAAATTTTGTCATTTTCAGTAAAAATAAATTTTTGAAATTGTTTTTATGAAATCATAAATGGCATTAGGCATCAAATGGTGAAACGTTTATGAAAATCCAATAAGAATTAACACTTTTATGGACTAAAAACCGTTAAAAATTACCTGCAGAAAATCGCCTATTTCTTCGAAACTGAACAGGTTAGAACCATTTTTGGATATCTCTATCACTAGGGATTTGGTATCGTTAAGAACGGGGTTTTTAGCGCTGGAAAGTGTGCACAGCGTTTACTTTCAAAACATCGTTGGTTAATTCATAAAAATCGTTTAAGAATTACATAAATGGGTTAGTTAGTACTATGGCTTAGTTTGATGGTGATGGGTTTAATTTCTCCTAGAGTCGTTTAAAAATGGCCGACCCGTTCACTTATCTACGACGTTCACTTATTAGACGAGCCGTCTGCTTTCCCGAGATACGTTGAAAAATCAACACACTGTTTACTTATCTACGGCCTTTACTTATTAGACGAGCCTTTACTTTCCCGATATACGTTGAAAAATCAACACATGATTAATTTATCTACGGCGATGAAAAATTAGATGAACCTTTTAATTGCCTGTGAGCCGTTTATCCGATCGGTTAATTTTGATTACGATTATTTACATATGAAGTACGAATAAAAAAGGGGAATATAAAAATGCACACCCAGAGATGATCACCTTACTGTGGTCGTAGTATTATATATTATCCATTATCCTATAAACTTCGTATTCCATCACTGACAAATAAATAAAAAATCGGTAAATCACGTCCCAGGTAATGTATCTTTTTTAAATCACAAATGAATGAACTAGTCTTCCATATGTACATGTGTTTATAAGTCAAGCTCTCAATAGCAGTGCGATAATCTCGCGAGACTGTACATTAGACTGGCGCCAAAAACAGTCACTGTCAATCTCTATAGACAAGCTGTCGCCCATTTTCAGACAACGTAATCACTTGATTGGGGGCCCCTGTGCAATTTAGTTGATTATTGGGTAATACGTAAGAGTCCATGATGTATTTTGGCGAGTGATTAAGCTGTCAATATGTAATTATAAAATACCTTTTTTATAAAGAAGATAAATGATGTTAGACATCATAAACTAACAAACAATAGGAGTATACTTTATTACAAAAACATTGGTGAACTAATAAAAAATCATAACGGCAAATACAAAAACAATACGAATATACTTTACTACAAAAACATCGGTGAACTGACCTAAGATCTAAAATCCAATTAACAAACAATACGAACATACAGCGGTGATCTAATCCTGGTCGTGATCGGTAATCAACAAAAATCGCAAGTAAAACATATTTATTCCATACATTATTGTTTATATGTAACAGTTTATTTAACGATAAGTACAACTCAGTTAATTATAATAACAAGGGGGGGTGTGAAACAGCCCGATAAAAAATTTTTTAATGGTAAATATCTAATTATACAAAAACACAGTGCTGAACAGGGTCGAAAAGCTCTCTTCTCAGTCTCAAACGTTTGTAATGAAAATTATTTTAATATTGTAACTAAACTTTGTATTTTTGATACTTTTATCTCTTGTATTCTAAATTATGGGGTTTTCATTCGGGACATGATATAGAAAAAATACATTTAAGGTACCTTAGGAAAATCTTAGATACAAGAACAACCACAAATTCCCACCTGATCTATTATGAACTTGGACGTTTCCCTTTAATCATTATGAGAAAATTACGGATATTTAAATACTGGATTAAAAAACGTTATTCTACTAATATTTTTGATACTTTTATCTCTTGTATTCTAAATTATGGGGTTTTCATTCGGGACATGATATAGAAAAAATACATTTAAGGTACCTTAGGAAAATCTTAGATACAAGAACAACCACAAATTCCCACCTGATCTATTATGAACTTGGACATTTCCCTTTAATCATTATGAGAAAATTACGGATATTTAAATACTGGATTAAAAAACGTTATTCTACTAATGTCTAACTTAATTTTTGCTACTCTAATATGTTAATAAATAATGACCCGTGGGTCCTGAATGTTAAGAAGGAACTTGGCTTGGGAGATTAATGGGAAAAACCTGCTCATCTCATAAACACAAATTGTATCCATATCATCAGACAAAGATTATTAGACATATTTAGACAGGAGTGTATTGAGAAATTTGAATTATCAAGTAATTGTATCATTTATAAGCATAATATTAATATTGTGAATACATTTGGCTTACAATATTATTTGACTAAACCAATAAACAGAAAATACAGGCGTTAAATTACAAGAATCCGTTTGTCCAGTCATAATTTAGATATTGAAAAATTACGATATAGTACTAAATATATTGAGAGAAGTAAACGATTATGTACATTGTTTAATTTTGAAGACATTGAAGTTGAGTACCATTTTGTTTTCATTTATAAAAGTCTGAGATAATAATATATAAAAAAAAGTATTATTGTTCGAACCCCAGTGTTTTTAAATTATTTAATCTTTTATGTACTAAAAATGTATCTGAACTTGTAAACCCTGGTAGATTTTTATATTTTTCTAATAAAATAAGTGATTAAAGGAATAGTAACAATTAATATACCGTCACTCTAATCTCCATATCATGATTCTTGTTTGTAATACTGTGTTTATATAATAGTATATATGGATATTTGTATTTTTGTTTTTCCCAATGAGTCTGTGACTCAAGGGTTATAAAAACTTGAAACTTGAAACAGTCCGAGGTGAAATGGTTGTGAGATGAACTGACCCGCACATGGCTGGTAACTACAGGTGGGAATTAATAAAACAATAGCATTCGACCAATCAAAAAAATAATGTTAATAAAAAGGGACATTTATGACTAAATTGTACATTCAAAGGCATTATTTTGTATGGCACCTGCACTCAGACAGGTGAGAATTAATAAAACAATAGCAATCGACCCATCAAAGAATTAATCCATACTGTACTTATGAACATGTATATTCAAAAACATGGTTTCATATGGCACCCAGGCACTTGACCACAGGTGTGAATTAATAAAACAATAGCATTCTACCAATCAAATAATTAATCTATACCGTAATAACGTTCATTTATGACGTTGTTGTTGTTGTTTATTAAAGATTTAATGTCCAATACAATGGATAGGATATTATGGACAGGTTGATTTAATTAAATTATTTACACATGAAAATTGTTAAAAACACAAAATAAAAAGGCTCGGATACCAAAAGTTTCTTAAAGCACACTTATAAATTTGCTGTCTGGAGAAGAGAGGGAGGGTCGTGTCCCTTTGTCATGGTAAAGTTAACACATAACTCCATCCTATATTCCAAATAACAACCTGCTGACCAAAAGGTAAATAGCTCATAATACCGTGTATACACAGGCCTTTTCTGTAATTAATGTGTATGGGAATATAGATAAAGAGGAGATTAGTGACTAATATGATAATTGTCTGCGATATCACCTCGGTGGAAGCGGGCGTTAAATAAAGCTATTTCACACATAATATGATAATCGTAGATAAAAGACGACTTTCACAACATAAAAGTTGTGTTTATTTTGAATACCAAAATAACTCTGGCTTAGTTTGGCTTTGCTCTGAATTTTGATTGAGCGGAAGATTTTTAAAGACACAGATTTTTATTAACAATTTTAACAGACTGCGGTATAGGATTTAAATGGTTCATTTACATTATCAATACATACAATTTGCTTTTTTTTTATTGTTTACCAATTTTGATTTCTTTTTGTCCATGCTGCTATTTCTGTATTTATAAA